CTTTCCCTTGATAAGGCTTGGTTCTGGCCGTGGGGAGGGAAGAAGCTCATTTGTCTTTCTGATCTTGGACCCTGGTTGCCCTCATAAAACTCCTTTTTCTTCCATTGTTTCCCTTGGCTTTCTCCACATTGAGGGAGACCTGCTCTACCTGGGGACTACAGTTTTCAAGGACTGCTTTCTGAACTGTAGGGGCTTGGGGTTTCTTTTTATTTTATATGGTCTAGACTTACTCATGTTTTCATTAACAACACAGTGTAGTTCTCTAGATAACTTAGTAGGCTTCTCATATCTCTGTACCCAGTCAATTCCATATGCCATCAGCCATGATCCAAGTACCTTTTTTTAAAAAAATAATTATTGTATTTAACTTTATTTATTTTAATTTGACCAGAGAGGGATGGAGTAAAACAGAGAGACAGAGAAAGCAATTCACCAGGTCCAGGATTTGAACCACACTCAGCCATACAGGAGTCCAGAGCCCTTAACCACCACACCACCTGTCATCCTGGATCCAAATACCTTTTTAGACATACTTTACAATTTGTTTTTGTGCTTTTTTATCTCACCTCTCAAAGAGGCTATTAGGTTTGAAATGGCAAGGTTACAACTTCAATCTGAGTTTTGCTCAATGTTACTTTGTACAACTTAAGAGTTTTTCCTAAAATTATATGAACTTCTAACATTCTTTCTTATCCTTAAATACATATCATAATGTTCATGACCTAGAAACAAATTTTCAGCAAGGTAAGGTACTGAATTTGTAGACTTTATCCTCTTTCATTTAAGATTGGCTAATTATTTTCTCATCTCTTTCTTGCAATACATTAGCAAATACAGACAAAAACAATCAACACACTACCACACTGCTAGTATATATTTCTCAAGCTTTCCTTTTTGGAACTACAATTTCAGGAGACAGGATCTGACAACGTTGACATTGTATAACATGAACAACTTTCTTTTCAGCTTGAGATAGCAGCTTCCTCACTGCCTACTACCAAATCTCCAGTCACTGCTACACATTTCAGGCTTATTATTTTTTTTTTTCTCTTTCTTCCATGAGCAACCAAAAATGGAGGAGGAGAGGGCTGTGGAGGAGGAGGAAGAGGAGAAAAGACCCCCAGTAGGGTCTTGATACTATGGACTACCTTTAACCCCAGCCAGGCCCTGATAGTGACCATGTGTGTGGTCAGTGTACTCAGGGAGGTCTCAGGAACAAAACTGGAATCTCCCCCCACATGGATCAGGTTAGCAGAGCATTGTATTTAATGCTATGTTGCCATCTAGCCACCATTCAGGTTTTTAATTCAACAAATAATCATGGTATTAATTCTTCTGTTAATCAAAGATAAATTAGGCTCTAAATTTCAGTGGCTTAACACAACAAATATTGGTATCTCACTCATGTCACAGTTCGAGGTGGATCATGTGACTCTCCCCCAAGCAGTAACCAGAGACCTGGGGATATAGACTGCTTCAATCTTAAAGTTGAACTTTATGGAACACATCATCCCTAAGAAAAAGCAGAAGGCTGGACTAGAGAAAAAAATTGGAAGTATAGATTGTTTGTAGGGACTAGTCTGAAAGTAGCTTACATCATTTCAGCCCTCACTCAACTGATCAGAATTCAGTCACATGACCCCCAAGTAAATACAGTCTAGGCTGGAGAACATAGGAAGAGCCCTTGAATGTGTTGGGGCTTTTGCAGTTTCTATTGCTTTAGGACTCGTGCATGTCCAACAGTCAAGTCTAGAAAGTGAGAAAATTAAAACAAAAGACAGTATTTAACTAAGCCAGAGGTCATCAGTCAAGCCTAGAGACTACATTGACGTGGAACAGAGAACATGGGAGAACTTCAAAGTGTATCCAGTCACTGGTCCCCAGACATAGCTAAAAACTAGTTACAACAGTGGAGGGGACACCTTCTACACAGTTGTGTCTTCGGTGATGGTACCTGGAAGTGTGTGATTTTTATTAGTGTCTAAGTGATGGTAATGCCAACATGAGAGCCATTGATCTTCTGTACATCTTCATTTATGGAGACCCAGTCAGGTAAAGCCACTTGCCCGTTTACTAGGCACACCAGTGATATAACTAGTCTGATCTCTGAATCCCATTGAACTCAGTGCCCAGTTCTGCATCAGTTATCAGTCTCTGTCCCTGGCTCGTGACTTGGGATTTCTAATTCTCTGTGCTCCAAGGCGACAAGGGTCCCCAAGCCTACATGAGGACAAATAAGTTTAGAATTCTTTGAAAATAAAGAGATAACACTTAAGAAGGATAGTTTGAGTGGTGCTGTTTGGGCTTTGGCACACAGGGCCCTTGTCTCCTTGCCTATCCTACTGTCTGACATTCTGCTTAACAGACGCTCTGTCCAGTGTTCTGTCTTGGCACTCTGTCTCATTAAGCTGTAGCATGCATGTGCCTTCCCTCCTGATCCTGGCCTGCCTCGTGGTGGGTCTCTACTGGAATTTGAGATTGCGCTCCCTATTGGTGTTTAGTAATGAAGACTGTGAGCTGAAGAAGAGCCAAGAAGGGCTGTTGCGCTAGGTCTGAGCATCCATGGAAGCAGGAAATTGTCACCAATCAATTGTCTGCCTGCCACTAAGGTGCCTGGTATCTCCTGACATTTGGACATTGACGGAAATGCTGCCTCCAAGAAGCTCAGTTTGAAAGCATCAGGTGTTTTCAGTATCTTCTCCTCTCTCTCTCTCTTTTAAAGTTAAAGTTTATTAATCATAGAAAAAGAAATTGACTCTTCAAAGTAAATTCTTCTGAAGTTCCCTGTAAAACAGAAAGCTTACAGAAAATTCTTTCTTTTGAACAGAAAATCACTATACTTTTGGTCCAAGACATGTTGGGTTTCTTTCTTCTTCTTCAGATGACAGATGGATGGAGCCAATTCTACGAATGAGTGTACTGGCCCCAAATGTGCAACATAAATACAGAAGCAATGGACAGAAGACTCAAAAACAGTACTGGAACAGGGCCCACTTTGAGCCCCGGTGAGTCTCCTGTGTAGAATCACCACATCCTCCCAGTGCCTGCTGAGGTTTTGCGGCCTGCACTTCTTGTTCCACAGCTGGCATTTTTTCCTCTGCCAGATAGTGGAGATTGCACAACCCAGGTGGCCACTGCCTTGTTGGGAGAGCGCCCTGAGGAACCCACATTAGTGCCACTGGGGGTCATGCTGCAATCTGGTGGTATCAGGGTGCTGATGCAGACTGGCCAGAAATTTGCAGAGCCTCACCCCAAATAAAAGTGGGTTTTTCAATATTTTGAATTGAGTGAAGGATCCTTTCCTTCCCAACCGTAGGGATAGAATTAAGACATGCTTCTCAGAAGTGCAAGGGAACTTGAGATCATCTGTCAGTCCCCAATCTGATTTCTCAAGGAAGAAGTCTGTTTATTCTGGATTAAAGAATTGAATAGAAGGAGGAAAACCAGCCAGACGTTAGGTTGATGCAGTAGATGAGGTGAGAGACTTTTGGGTATGGGATAAGGAGAAGAGGAATGACTTTGGAAAGGAAGAAAGCTGCTTGAACGAATGACTGAAGCTGATGTCAGATCTGGAGTTGGGGATCCCAGGGCCGCCCCCCACCTGCCTGACTCTCTTGGACATCCAAGGGGACCCAGCCTATGGGAAAGTCCAGGGCCATCACGTACTCATTCCTCCACACACAGATCCCACTTCTACAACCATGCACTCCTCCTTGCAACTCTCTTAACCCCTCCAGCTTTATTGTATTATTTAAAAAGTCATCAAAGTCAGGTCCTACACCAAAATATATTTTATGTAGAAATTCAAGAGTCATACATAAAAAATATTTAATTCCACAACATAATGATTTCATAGGGACACCATCTTCCAAAATTAATAAAAGACAACAACTTTGCATTGATTCTTACAAGGACTTTCATCATACTGTATTGAGGTAGAGAGCAGAGGAGCACCCTGAAATTTTGAAGGGTACTGAGGAAACGTGATGACGTTAAGGTTTTACATTTAAAGCCCAACAACATCTATGGCAAATTAAATTATTAAGAGTATTTAAAAACCATTATTTAAAAACAACTATGACTTACATTATTATATTATTCTTTAGATCTATAATAAAATAAGGACACATCTCAGAAGAGATAGGCGATATAAATAATTTGTTCCTCAAGTTTTGGCTTGTCTTCAGTTCAGGCATGAATGTTCAAGGCTTTGGATTTTGGGCTTTCTTGTCCAGGTAGGCAATGGAGTCTTGGACCCACTTCTGCTGGGGGTCAGCACAGACATTCCTGGCCAGTTTGGTCTTGAAGCTGTGGGGAGAGCAGGAACAGTTAGATTGCACACTCTGAGGCTTACCCCTACGTGTGTGATCTACTCTAGGGAAACCTGCCTGGCCTGGAGGCCCAGTGATAGGGCTGGTCCAGGGATGGAGGAGAAAAAAAGGGAGAGGGTCCAAGGGAAGCAGATGCTTTTCTGGCCCATGTGAAGCCCACTTAGCACCTAGATAAAGGAACTGAGGTATAAACTGATGGCTGGAAAGAAACTTGGGAATAAGAAAGTCTTTTCTTTGGATTCAGTTTACTCATTGGAAAGTTCTTGGAATCAGGTTAGACATGATCTAAGTAAGCACCTGTGTGCTTAGCCCTAGATGCTTGGCCTTCAGTCTGATAATGGCTCTGTTCACTGCCCCAGGGAAGATGCAGGCCTGAGGGTTGACTGTGGGTGTTTCTTGTCTACTCACATCACAGCTTCCTGGGGACAATAGCTGCTGGTGATTCTTCTGTAACTTTCCAGTCTCTGCTTAGGGATCATCTTGTTAGTGAATTTATAGCAGCAGGTTGAGGTACTAAGCCCATCTGCAATGAAACAATAAGAAAAGGTTCTTTAGCGTGTGCTCCGGATCTATTTATAAAGTCAGGAATGGAAGGAAGGAAGAATCTGAGAAAAAGGAATCGATGGAGAGAGAAGCAGTTCACCCCAAGTCCAATGTTCCTCCATTCTGGGGCATCTTTCAATTCTCTCTTGCTTCCATGAACTATATCACCATTAATGACAGGGGGACAAGAAACTAATGACAACTCAGGGCATTGCTAATAGGTGTTAATACAACAATCTAACTCTCCTGAGGGAAAGAAACCTCAGCTATAGGTCCTTTTAGGCTCTGAGCAATTTCTGCCAGTTCATGAGTTTCTCTGGTCCCCACTCCCTCTGCAGAGCTGCTGTCCCTGGCAGCTGCGGTGAATGAATCACAGACCAGACTCTGGTTTTCTCTTTTCCCCTTCTCCTTATCTGGCTGGAAACAGCCTATACACCCAGCACTAAAGGTCCCTTTTCTTTGGTCACCCCAGTTCCTAAACATTGCTGAAAGCAGCTGACCAGTAACTGAACTGAGGCTATGTTTATAGAGCTAGGGACCTAGAAAGAGCTGATCTGGGGTCCACAGCCAGGACTGTATTTCAGGCTCTGCCTGGGACAGCTGTGAGATTGGGCTCCCTTCTCATCCTTCTCTGAGATGCCTCATCAGGGAAAAACAGCTGTTGTTAAATGGGTACCCCTTCCATGGACGGGTATGATGTCCCAGAAAGGGATAAAGTGTTTCAGGGGGAGAAGAGAGGGAACTTACTTGGCTGGGCAAGCCCTTGGAGGCTGAAGGTGGCTGCTGAGAGCAGCAGGCACAGAAGCACTGCAGAGACCTTCATGTCAGAGGGTGAGAGCTCCAGCGTCAGTGGAGTTTAGGCAGCTTCTGGGTTGGACTCAGCCTCTCTGCTCTTCTGGGGGCTTTCCTTTTATTGGAAAGCAGGAGTAGAGAGAAAGGGGGTGGGGCCACAGGGTTTGTTATTCTGAATGAATCACAGGATGGAGTAATAATTCTGCTGAGCCATTGTCCCGCCCTGAGGAGGATGTTAGGAAATATGAGTAAAGTGTGGGCTGAGGCTGGCCTGTTTTCCATTCAAGGTCAGGAGTAGTAGGTGGGCAAAGGGGATGCTGCTCATGTAGATCACAGTGTGTGTTCTGTGACTATTATTACCAGCACAGCTTCTTTGAAATGAAGCACATTCTGTAGAAAGAGAAAGGAAGCAGGGATACCAGGGTCAAGGAATGCAAGGGATTTCCCGCCTTCTCTTTCAGGCAGCATTCCCAGGACCTCAAGTCCAGAAAGAGGCATTGATACTGGCTCAATTCTAAAATGGACTCAAAAGATTCTTCACTGTCTTGATCCCTGACAGCTTTCTAAAACCCAGGGAAAAATAGTATAATAGAATACTGGCAGCAAAATAGAATTAAGTATTCTTAGAAAAATAGTACCTCTATCTATTCTGTAGCTCATAGCTGTGTAACAACTAATCTGGAAACAGTGATTTAAAACAACAACATTTAGAGGACAGCTGGTGGCATAGTGGTTAAGGCACTGGACTCCCACATGACCAAGTAGGGTTCAAGTCTGGACGTGGCAGCTAAAAAGATGTTGGGCGCATGTGTGTATGTGCCCAAAATCCTGGGAGGGGAATGGAGGAGAAGGGATTGAGGCATGGCCATCTCTTCCGGAGGCGTGGCTTCTCACTTTCCATCTCACTGTCTCTCTGCTGTGAACATACATGCCCCATGGCAAAAATGTCTAAAAAAATTTATTTATTTATTTATTTATTTGTTTAATTTATTGCCAGAGGGCACATATGTTTGCCAGAGAGAGGTACAAAGAGAGTGGGAAAGTGAGAAAGTACCCTCCGTGGAGAATGGTCATTCAGTAATTCCTTTTCCTGCATTTCTCTCTGCTTTCATTATTTTGGGCATGAATGAAAACACACCCAGCATGTTTTTCAGGCCACCAACCAGGTCCGCAACTCACACCACACAGTCAGGCATATGGATCCAGCCACCTTAACCACTGTGCCACTGGTTGGCCCAACAGTTATTTATTTTGTTCTTGAATATGAGGGTTGACTGGCCTTTGAGAGGCAGTGCTTGCTCAGGGTCTTCCATAACTTTGCAGTTGGATGACAGCTAAGATCCGGGCCATCATGAGGCCTTCACACAATGTTTAGCATCTGGGCTGGGAAGACTTAACAGCTGGGGCTTGGGCCACATGGCAATCCTTGAGTGTCTCTCTCTCTCTCTCTTCATCTCTCTCTTACAGAGGATACACTCGTCATCTGATATTTTGCTATTTGTTTCTACATGCATTTGTCTTTTTTTGTTCCTCTGTTCTCCAAATACTGCTTTATTTTGCAATACCTCGATATTATCTAGTGTAACCATTTTATTTCCTTTTTTTTTTATAACCATATAGTTTTGAATTATTTTCTTAGTGATTACCCTGGGGCTTACCGTTAACACATGATTTTTTTTTTAAATTTGCTAGAGGGCTCATGCACTTTATTTATTTATTTATTTATTTTAATTTGTTAGAGACAGAGAGAGGGAAAGCGGGAAAACATCTCTCTCCTCCTCCATGGGGAATGATCACAATTCTGTCTCCATCTCGTCTACGTTTCATGATTTGGGGCACGTAAGCACATGCATTCCAGGTGTTTTTTTCACTGGATCTTGGACTTGGCCATGTGGAGTCCAGTCTCTTAATCACCAGGCCACAGGCTGACTCAATCTCATAATTTATAATGACTTATTTTGTATTAATAGTGTTTGAATAGTGTACAGACCTGTTGATACCCCCCCCCTCATAGTGCCATCCTTTCTCCATCTTAATGCTGGTATGGTGAAAAATTACACTTCTATACTTTGTGTACCTCTCAACATAGATTTATAGTTATTAATTTTATGACCATGTAGGAGTTCAGCACCACAACTACCATACCACCTGCTGGTCCCAAGGTTAGCTTTTAAAAAAATAATAATATGTGGTGGAATTTCACTGTAGTCTTCATTTGCATTTTATTAATAACTAAGGCAATAAGAATTTTATTAGATGTGCATTTCCTTTAGTTATAACTTCTCTGCTAAATTGTCTATTTACATACTCTGGGATATTTGTTTTCTAATTATGCAGTTCAAAGACAAAAAAAACTGTCCATGAAGGTTTATAATCATTTTGTAATTCCAAACTGGATATGACCCAGACATTTGTCAAAGAAGAAGTGACAAAGCAATGATGCCATAGCTATACAATAAAGCAGTACTCAGCCATAAAAAGGGAGAAGCTGCTGTTCAGGCAAGGACATGGATGAGTCTTAAAGGCATTTTCCCAAGTGAGAGCTACTGAAACCCAAATGGCACCTACTGTATGATTCCATTCTTATGACAACCTGGGAAAGACAAACCTCTAGGAATAGGGCAGAACAGCTGCTGCTGGGTGTGAGCTGGGGAAGGGATATGGGTAGAAAAACAGTGTGTGGGCACTTGGGGGCAAGAGAGTCCTTCTGTAAAGTACTGTGGTGGAGAGATAACTGTGCATCCTTCACCATCCTTAGAACTTGATACTTTCAAGAGTGAATGTTATTGCATGAAAATTAAGAACAAAAATCAACCAGAAAGTCTGGGGAATCCAAGAGGGAAAGCAGAATGTGACTGAGGACCTATCACAGAATGGAGAACACTAAGGGAAATGAAAATTAAATGCAAATTATTACCTTGGATTGGGTAAAATTAGTAGAATAAAATGAGGAAATTCAAGTAAAGTCTCTAGTTCATTTAATAGCAGTAGACTGATGTTAATGCCTTCATTTTGATATTTGCACCATGCTTAAGTCATATATTAATGTTAGAAGCTGGGGAAGGTCTTGGAAACTCCTTGTACTGTCTTTACATCTCTTCTGTAAATAAAATTATTTCAAATAAAACATCACCAAAAAAAAAGGAGAAGAAGAAGAAAAAGAATGCAAGCCACTTGCTTCTGGCTTCTATGGTTTCTGATGAGAAATTAGCTGTTAACCTTATTGAGAATCACGATATGTGATGAGTAACTTCTCCCTTGTGGCTTCCGCTATCCTCTCTTTATTTATTTTTTATTTTTTGACAGTTTGATTATGATGTATCTTGATGTGGATCTGTTTGAGTCTATGATACTTAAAAATGTGTTGAAATTCTAGGATGTGTATTTATTTATTGTTATTAATCTTGGGAGTTGCCATCATTACTTCTAGAAATATTCTTTTGCCTTTTTCTCTCTCCTCTGGCACTTCATTATGTATTTATTGGTGCACTTGATGGCACACGATTGTGATTCTATTCTTTTTTCATTCATTTTTCTTCCTATTCCTTCGACTAGATAATCCTCCATTTTCTTATTGTGAAAATCCTACATAGACATTGTATATCTGTACATTATTACTCACCAACGTTCAGATTTTATTTAGATTTCAACCTTTTTTTTTTCACTAATGTCCCTTATCTGTTCCAGAGTTCAATCTAGGTTACCACATTGCCTTAGGCAGGGCTTATTTGGAGTTTGAAGGGACTCAACCTATGACACTATTCAAAAATAAATTTTCTTAAATGTCTCTCTTAGCTCAGAAAGACATGTCTTGGAAAAAATGCTGGGACCTTGTTCAAGTTTGACTTCATGGTGCAGTGACTGTGGTAGGGGAGAAACTTTCTAGTCTGGGACCCCAGGATCCACCTTCTATGAAGCTCTTGCTTCTCCATTTTTTCCTTTGACCATATGAGAAGTGAAAATTGATGGGTCTTTCTATGGGGGTTCTTATTACTTGTCTCTGGCTAAAGAAATATTTGTAAGTTGTTTTACTGAACTGAACCTGAACTTTCAAAGGCTTTATAAGTCTTGACTTCTGATTTTCTGGGCAACATAATTTCCCTCAAAACCTACCAGTCTTTTTCTGATCAAATAAGTAAAGGTATGTTAATCCCTCCCTGCATGTAGGTCTTGGGTGATTTCTCTACTTCTTTCTTGACCTATTTTTCTGCTTCCTCCCTCTCAAATCTTTACTCTCCTTTAGGCTGAAGCTCCTAATCTTTTTTTTTCTTTCTTTTTTTTGGGAGAGGTTTTTGCTATAGGGCGCTTGTGCTTGTCAGACAGACAGAGAGAGACAGAGAGATAGAAAGCGAGAAATCACCCCCCGGGGGGGATGGCCACGCCGCAATCCCCTCTCCTCCTTTCTCCTCTTGGGATCTTGGGCATGCACGCACACGTGCCCGGCGTGAGCTCTAAGCCACCGGGTCCAGGACGCGAACCGCGGTTGACTACGTGGGTGTCCAGCGACATAACCATTACGCTAACTGCTGGTTCCCGAAGCTCCTAATCTTGAATAAAAAGTCCACACACTTAACTATTCTCTTTCTTTAAGCCACCCAAGTCAAATGGAAAGTTGATATGAATATCTGCTATTCAAAACTTAAAAGAAAAAAAAAATTTAAGAGGTTTTTGCTATAGGGCGCGTGCACTCGCCAGACAGAGAGAGACAGAGAGACAGAAAGCAAGAAATAAACCCCTCCCCCCGGGGGGGGGGATGGCCACGCTGCAATCCCTTCTCCTCCATTCTCCTCTCGGGATCTTGGGCATGCACGCACACGCGCCCAGCATGAGTTTTAAGCCACCAGGTCCAGGATGCGAACTGCAGTCGACTACGTGGGAGTCCAGTGACATAGCCATTATGCTAACTGCTGGTCCCAAACAGGTAATATATCAAGATCTTGGGGCTGGTGGTGGTGTGGTGGTTAAGGGCACTGGACTCCCACATGGCCTACAGTGGTTTGAGTCCTGGACCTGGTGGCTTGCTTTCTCACTTTATCTCTTGCTCTCTATCTCTGTCCCTTTCTGGTAAATTAAATTAAATTAAATAATTCTA